AAGTGTGATGTAATTTTTTATAGTGATTGCCAGGAGTGTTGGATAAACTATTACACAATTCTGGAAATGTTGAAAGCATTTTTGTAAAGAAGTCTAAGATAACGAAATGCATTTCTCCAATGTCAAGTCCCTTGAGAATCGGATGCATCCTCTAGTTGTACCCTGAGAGGAGGAAGATTAAGTTCCAGGCACTGGACACAGGGGAACAGACTTTTAATTTGAGGGCTTTTTATGGACCACAGAGTGCCTGCCAGTCTCTTAGAGATTAATTGTGGCTTTGTCAGTGGGTGGGCCCTGTAGATGGCCACTTCATGTAGGTCCCGAGCATAGAATGTTTGCTTACATGGCCAGAAGATAGCCAGGCCTCTTTGTTGATAATGACCTATATTTACCATGTAAATTCCTTTAAAAAAAAGATAACCCATAGAGAAATCAACTGTTACTGTTGACAAGCAGTGTGGCCTTCTCTAAGAACACAACAGGAACTGTTGTCATGGATGCTGCAAATACTGAGAGAGCCAGCCAGCCCTTGACTGATAGTCCTGGATAAGGAATGCCAGATAAGATTCTTTGATGACTCTTAGCTAAGTTGAGATCAGAAAATCTTATATACATTTGGCTACTCTATAACAGTGCCTGGGTGGCTGGTCTTTCTTAAGTAGTCAGTTAAGGTTTGAGAGACAATTACTCTGCTTCCTAGATGAAAAATGGAGGTTGTAACTCCCAATATTCCATGGAGCAAGTCAAAGATTGTCAAAAAAGGAATGTAAATTCTTCATAATAAATGGAGTTACCCAATATTTTATTTCTATGAGGTAGAAATAGTGTAGGAAATAGGCAATTTTCTCATCTCAACTTTTCTTCCTTTGTCTTTGTCTATAAACTTATCTGTATGAGAAAAAGTTCTCTATAGAAACATTCCATCTCTTGTCTATTAAGACCTGCAAGAATTCCTTAACCCTGTACCTGCTGGCACCATACAGCTTACTACCATGTTTGTTATAGATTTAGTTTGGGGATTTTATTCTCCTATCACTTTTCTCTGCCGTATCTTAGCTCTACTTCTTTGTTATACACTTGAAAATCTTTGAAGCTTGGAGAATGTGTGTCTTAGTTATCTTGTTATTTAAAAAAGTGAACGAAAGACATAAAAATATGCTACATATTATTAAATAAAAATATGGATAGGTAGGTCCAGTATTACAAACCTGTAATCCCAGCTGTAATTCAGCTCAAAGGTTGAAGCAGGAGGATCACTAATTCAGAGACTGTCTGGATTACAGAGGAAATTCGAAGCTGTCTGAGAAGCATAGTGAGACTCTTCCTCAATATGGAAGACAAATCAATTGAGCAAGGGCTACTTGTATAACTCAGTGGCTTAACATGTATGAGGCCCTAGGTTCAGTGCCTAGAATCACCAAATGAATAAAATAGATGAGTAAATTCAATACAATATTTGGCTCAGCCTCAAATTCTCCCCGTTTCTCATCAAGCACCGCTCACTATCCTCTGTGCTCTAAATAGTAATTATAACTAGAATCTGACCTCTGCCAAAGTTAGTTTAGCAATGATCTCATGATGTTTTAAGCCACACAATACAAATGCCCCATGAGGGGAAATTATCCATCTTTCAGAAGCTGTAGTGTATCTTAACATCAGGGAAGGTGAAGATAGAACATTTGAATCATGTCTCATAGGATCATTTATTTACTCAAAAGTTTTAACTAAAAAATAATTTTAAATATAAAATTTATATAGCTCCCTGTTATAATAAAACTTTTTAAAATCTTCTTTCCTTCCCTTCATTACTTGATTCACAACTAAGGCTTTATGCACACTTGGCAAGTAGTCTCCTACTGAGCCCCAGCCTTGAACAAGTAAATGATGAGGTCCCTTTGCTTTTAAATATTGTTCTTTTGGACACACTCACAACTAAATCTGAAACAGTGGTGTATTTTCTATCAGTTAGGCTTTGTTACTGAATGAGATGAACACAAGAGATATCACTGCTTAATAATAAGATGCTTTAATGGAACAATGGGAATGAGAAAGTTCGAAGAATGTTCATGTAAGATGAAAATTTTAGCTTTTAATTCTGTTTTTTTCTTGTTTCTTTGTTTTTATTTATTTATTTACTTTTAGTTTTTGTGAGACATGGTTTCTCTCTGTGTAACTTTGACTGTCCTGAAGCTCACCCTCTAGACCAGGCTGGCCCTAGCTCACAGAGATCCACCTGTCTCTGCCTCACAAGTGCTGGTATTAAAGGTGTGCGCCACCATGCCTGGCTTCAGCCTTTGACTCTTAATTGACCTAGAGATCTGAACCCCTTGGAGTGATAGTCACAAATTCGAGTACAAATTGTAATTGCGTTCCACAGAAGCTTCAAGTTTTTGAATCCTTATTGTCGTACTCAGTGTGGCTCTCAGTATTTTTGACTTCCTAGCCTCTCTGTGCCTTCATCTTCTAGGTTCTGTAAATGTCACATTCTTCCTATTTCTCTAAACAGAAGAAGGAAGCTTTTGGTTGGGTGAGCCAATAGTTAAAACATTGTGTAGAATGGATTTCGTGCAAGAGATTGTTCTGAGCAGTCCAGTCCCCGTATGAGAACTGGCCCCAGGATGCTGTGGTACTGAAGGAGGGAGACAGCTTGAGGATCACAATTTATTAGATACTTACTCAGAAGTGTGGGCCTGGGCAGCAGAGAGAGCAACAAATCCCCCCGATTACAGTCACAAGTAAAGTTGTATATGTTGGTGAAGTCAAAAGGGGCTTCATCCAAGTCAGAGTATACCTGGTTTATTTCACACTAATATCAATGTCAGGGACATTCCTGGCACTAGGGCCCAGCCATAAAGCTCCACATACCACTCCAGTGTTCCTGTCTGTTTAGAGTGTGCTGGGAAACTATTGAGGGAAGGCTGATGGGGGCGATTTAGGAGTAATCATTGTGTCAGGACACAAGATGGCTGCAGTCAGATCAAGGGGAGCCCTTACAACAGTCTGGTACCAGTTATCATGGGCAATATATTTGTTCTTGTTTGTTTGTTTATCTTTTGCTGGCTGATGTTGTAATTGAGAATTTTAAAATTAGCAAATATTCTCTGTGGCTGCTACTGTAATTTCTGCTGTCAGTAGCTTTTGGTGAGTGTTTTGAGTAGCTGGTCTTTGAATGTGAGAATGTGAATCTTTGTTGGAAGGACTGTAATAGCTGCTCCAGAGTGAGGTCATTGTAACGCAATCATTTTCCTTTTTATACTTTATTTTTCTAGATGTCTATGATTTTATAATAGTTTATTATATTTAAATTGGTTATGAATTAGCGTAGTTCATATGATTTAAGAATTGGGTTTGGAAAATTTCTCTTATAATTTATTTCCTGCATTTCATTCATCAATGAACTTAGACTTTCAGTTTGTCGTTTCTTTGTTTATTTTATGTGTGTGGGCACATGCAAGTCCAGGCATGCTTGTAGAGGGCAGAGAACAACTGTCTGGAGTAGCTTCCCGCCTTCTAGCATGTGGGTTCTGGGGATCAAACTCTGCGTGTTAGATAAGGGCCTTTCTTTGCTGAGCCATCTTAAAGGGACCTGCTTTGTAGTCACAGACAGAAAAAATAAGAAGTCTAGTTATATACCAAGATAACATGAGAAATACTCTTCATTATTTCAAAGTCACTTGTGCCAGTTTTCCAGGAAAATGAGGATAGTCTACACATTTAAGCAATCCAGTGACACAAGAAAAGGCTGCATGATAAAGTCTTGTTAAGATGAGCTTGCATGGGAGAGTTTTGTGTTTTGGTTAATTGTGTTTATTAGCATCATAATTATAGTATGGGGGTTGGTGTATTGATCAAATGGGAAACAAAAATGTATATAATGGAGATTTCTTTTTACTATGGACTGTTAAAAAACATATGACACCATTTTCATATATTAATACTTTGGTCTCTTGTTGGGAATGTTGTTGAAAACTGATGATGTGAGGGTTTGTGTGTGTGCCTAAGTTTACGTAAAACGTGTGCAGCCCATTTAAAGTGTCCATCTTCATAGCTTCTGTAAGGCCATTAGTGGAAACTTACTGAAACGCTTTGAGTAAAATATTAAATTGTAGTGAACGTGATATCAGGATTATGACATACTTTACAGTCTGCATTTCCATGATTTTATTTTCTCAATAGTTCTTCCCTTATTTTTCTTGGAGACTTTGACCACACTGAAAAGTTAGTGATTGCCTTTAAAATTCAGAAGTATTGCAAAGTCTCTAGAAAACATCCCAATAGCATCAACTCATAGTGAGGGAGGTAAAAATATGTCTTGTAGAATGTCTTTCCCTGTTCTAGCTTTATTTCTGTCATAGTGATAGAACACCCTGACCAAAAAGCAAGTCATCAGAAGAAAGGATATATGTGTCTTCTAACTCTGGGTTACAGTATATTACCGAGGGGAAGTCAAGGCAGTAACTCAAAGCAACTAGTCAGGGCATATCCCCAGTGAAGAGAGAACTGAATGGAGGCATGCCTGCTGCCTGCTTTCTTCTGCTCAGCCAGCTTTCTTCACTTACATACAGTTCAGAGCCCAGTCAGGGTGGGTATTTGCATCCCACCCTCAATGAAGGTAATCAAGACAGCCCCCCCACCCCCACACCTCATGATCACAGACAGACTTGATATATAGACACTTCCTCTGTAACAGTCTCTTCCTAGGTGATTCTAGTGTTTGACAAGCTGACATTGAAAGCTAAGTGCCACAGTTGCCCATCCTCAATGACACTGTACGAAGATGAGCCATACAAGGATCCTAGAATCCCACTGGAGGATGTGGGAGCCACCTTTAAAACTGGAGGGTGGAAAAGAGGATCGACATAGAAATTTCGGTAGATGCCTTTTTTGACAGGATCTTTCTGGAGAGGCAGTCCCAGTGTGTTGAATTGCCCATTCTTCTTTAGATGTTCAGATTTTTTTCTGCTCTCTTACTAACAACGGTGCCTGTCCTTGTCTCTCAGGAACTTTACGATGTGAAGTCTGAAGGACAGGCAACTGTAATTCAACAACTGGAACAAACCATCGAGGATCTGCGGACGAAAATAGCAGAGCTAGAAAAACAGTATCCAGCCCTGGACTTGGAGGGTCCCAGAGGCCTTCCCGGACTGGAGAATGGATTCCCAGCCTCTGCAGAAGTTGGTCTGGATGCTCTCAGATTGCATGGGAAGGTGGTACAGCTTCCAAGAACTCTTGAGGCCAAATCAATCCAAACTTCCCCTACAGAAGAGGGTGGGATCCTGACTCTGGCACCTTTAATGTCACGGCCGGAAGGTCCACCATGCCCACGTGCAGCTGAAATTGGAGAATCAGCTGTTCTGCCCTCACCCTCTGGACCTCAGACAAAGTTCTGTTCCGAGATTTCCTTGATTGTGTCTCCAAGGAGAATATCAGTACAGCTTGAGGCCCAACCAGCCATGCAGAATACATCACAGCTCCATCCTCTTCCTCCCTCTCTCTCTGGGTCTGATGGTCAAGGACTGCCCCTCCACCCTTCCCTGCATACAGCATTGGAAACCAGCCATGAACATTCTGTTTTGTCCTCCTTGGAAAACAGCCGTAATATCCCCCCTGCACCACCTCTGCCTTGTACAGAGTCCTCCAGCTTCATGTCTGGCCTGGGCATGGCGATTCCCCCACCTCCTTGTCTCTCTGACATAACAGTGCCTGCTCTGCCCAGTACAACAGCCCCACAATCTACCAGTCTACAGGGAACAGAAATGCTGCCAGCCCCTCCCCCACCTCCTCCACTCCCAGGACTTGGAATACCCCCTCCCCCTCCTCTCCCTGGAGTGGAAATACCCCCTCCCCCTCCTCTCCCTGGTGTAGGAATACCCCCTCCCCCTCCTCTCCCTGGAATGGGAATACCTCCTCCTCCTCCTCTCCCTGGAGTGGGAATACCTCCTCCCCCTCCTCTCCCTGGAGTGGGAATACCTCCTCCCCCTCCTCTCCCTGGAATGGGAATACCTCCTCCCCCTCCTCTTCCTGGAATGGAAATACCTCCCCCTCCTCCTCTCCCTGGAATGGGAATACCCCCTCCTCCTCCTCTTCCTGGAATGGGAATACCCCCTCCCCCTCCTCTCCCTGGAGTGGGAATACCCCCACCTCCCCCACTTCCTGGAGTGGGCATACCTCCTCCCCCTTCTCTACCTGGAGTTGCTATTCCTCCACCTCCTCCTCTCCCAGGTATGGGGGTTCCTCCAGCCCCACCTCCCCCTGGGGCAGGCATCCCTCCACCCCCTCTGTTGCCTGGTTCAGGTCCTTCCCTCTCCTCACAGGTTGGGAGTAGCTCTTTACCAGCACCACAAGTGTGTGGGTTTCTTTTTCCTCCATTGCCAACTGGCTTATTTGGATTGGGGATGAATCAGGACAGAGGCGCTAGGAAGCAGCCAATTGAGCCTTGCCGGCCAATGAAGCCTCTCTATTGGACAAGAATTCAACTCCATAGTAAAAGGTAACTCCAAAGTAAGCTTATCCCTTACTGTAGAACTATGTGGAGGAGGTGGAATTTAAGGTATACTAAGTCCACCTATAAAAGTTTCTATTTCTGACTAAAGGCTTAAAAAATATAAATTGAATCCATGGACAAACCAACTCTCCAGGATGAGTTCTGCAGCTTTAAAAGTTACACACTTGCATTATGATTCTTGTTATTCATAAGAAGTCTTTCTGGAGAAACATCATACATCAAAACTTACCCAAACTATGTGTATAAAATAACTTTGAGAATGCCGTGGCACTTCCAGAGAAACAAGGCCATGTCACATGGCCATGGTTGGCAATGACCATCACAAGCTAATACTTTTTCACCTAGTGTTTAGGCCACATACTATTTGTTCACACATAATCTGATTCTTGGAGACAGTGCTACATGGGAGAAGGTGGGAAACACACTTTAAATGCCCTGAGTCCTTTTTATTCTAATTGATCATAATTCCTTGATGTATTTGAATGAAGTGGCATGCACTTGGAAAAAGCATCCCTTTCCATTTCTTGTATTGATTTTTTTTTCTTTTCACTAAATCCCCACAGGAGAAGATATGCTGAGTCTCCCGACTCCCGTTTCCAGTCCATTCTCTGCACAAGTGTCTTATCACTTTGTACATTGATGAATCATTTTAAATTGTAGTCAAACTCACAATCTCCAGGTCCAGAACATGATGTTATGCTTTATTATTTTGCTTTTTATAAATAACTTTTACTCTTTCTTAGTGGCACTGCACGAACATGGACATATTAAGAAGAAAAATGACTGTGGGCAAGAGGGTGGCAATGTACATATAGAGAGGATTTTCTTAGAAATATATATACCTTATAAAGATTGATTTTTTTTATTTTTTTAATTTACATGTATGTGTGTTTGGCACCCATGTACAGGTATACTTGGAGGCTACAAGAGGTATTAGGTCTGCATGAGCTAGAGATCCAGATGGTTGTTAGTTGCCTCATGAGGGTGCTGAAAACTGAGATCAGATTATATGGGAGAACAGTAAGAGTGCTCAACTTCTGAGCCATCTCTCCAGCTCCAGAAATATACACACATGTGTACACATGTACATACTTACATTCATAAATACATACACACATATATGCATGCGGGCATGCACACATATATACCTTACTTATGCATTAATTAATCAACAAATTAATTAATTTTGAGATAATATATCAAAATGCAGTCCTGGCTAGGCTTAGAATTTGCCATGTGGCCCAAGATGGTCTTGAATTCACAGATAGATATTCACGTGCCTCTGACTCTTGAGTTGGGATTAAAGGTGTATGTTGCCTTACCTAGCTTGTAGATTCATTTTTTTTTGTTTGGTTTTGGTTTATTTTGTCTTAACCCTCAAATAATCCAGTAGGTTAAATGAAATTTGAATGTCTAGCCCATTCTGACAGAGACTTTGCTTTGATGTTGTCATGGCGTGACTTGATAATGAAGAATGTCAAAACAATTGTCCCTGGGGAAATGCCTTATTCATAAAGGACATAACCTTTTCATTCATTTGGGAAAACAGTTCTTCCTTATCTTCCTTTTGCTTTCTCTCCCCATTTGTTTTCTTCATCCTCTTTGTTTTGGTTCATCATTATAAAGGACTTGGGTGGCTCTTTTATTATTCTTTTGCTTAATTTTAGAGACTCCAGTCCTTCACTTATTTGGGAGAAAATTGAAGAGCCCTCCATAGATTGTCACGAATTTGAAGAATTATTTTCTAAAACTGCGGTAAAGGAGAGAAAGAAACCCATTTCTGATACAATCTCAAAGACAAAGGCAAAACAAGTGAGTATCCCTGTACCTTTCAAACTGGCGGGGCCCTCTTCTAAACTGAATTTTCGTTAGCAGCCAAGTTTTGAAGTGTTTTATGGACTGGGTGTGTCTCCTTGGACCTTTCTACAGATAGCAAGGAAGGGATGAGATTTTAGAATGTGTTGTTAAGTAAAATTCATTTAGGAAGAACCGCTAAAACTGTCCAGAAAGAGTACCCTGATTATTTTATTCATTGGCACCTATTTCCAGAACCTTCACCATTACTTCTTTTTTGTTGGTGATATTTTTCTTGATTAAAGTTCACCCAGGTGTTAATATGCATGGAAAGAGGCAAACAAGGAATAAGTCTAGCTCTTGGCATTATAGGTTAAGTAGATGCATTTAAAACCCAGTTACACCATACTTGAAATATAGAAGAAAATCGTGTCCCCTTCAAACATTTCTATCTCATGGTAGCTCCTTTAATCTAACTTGTGACATGAATCAGAAGAAGAAAACAGGGATCTGAAGAAATGCATCTGAACATTTTGAATGGGTAGACCCCACTGGTCTTGGTCAGCAAATGATGCTCTGAACTTAGTCTCCAGGATGCCATTTATCAAGATATGGGAAGACTCCATGATAGTGAGCTGTAGATATTTGCTATTGGTGCCAATCGTTCCCCATGGGATAGGGGAAAAATCTAATTTGGTAACTTTGCAGTGGCATGGGAAAAGAGACTAGGGAGTAGGTCAGCCTCAGTGGGAAGGCCAATGTCCCAGTGTTCTTCTGGCCCAGTTCCAATATCAGTGACAGCCAAAGGTCAACCTTGTCTTTCTGCACCTGACAGAGAAGTTGCAGCCAAGTGTATGGCACTGCATTACTTCTATGATATTTTAGAGCAGACAGCACTTGCACATTGGACACTGCCGAAACCATCCAGGGATGGATAGTTTAGAACAGGACAGCCAAACTCCTGGAATCCAGCTGACTGGGTGGCCAGGCTAACCCCAGCCATTCTGTAAGGATGCAAATCTAGACAATGTGTTGAATGTTTACTGAAATTTTTGAGACGATTTATTGTCTTCTAGACACTTCTGGTAGCCATAGGTCAATCTCTAGTAAATAAGACACAACATAAATATTTACCAAATGTCAAAAAGAATTTATTAAATTAACAGATTAGCTGATTGAGGGAGAAAGGCTTATAAATATCCCTAGATATTCTTAAACAGAGATTAAACCACAAGAAATGTATTTTTCACAATAATCAGTCCAAGACTATTACTACAACTAGGGTAAAGGAAGGATCCCCATTTTCTCAGATATGCATTTTTTCTTTTTTTATTGTTTTTATTGAGCTATATATTTTTCTCTGATCCCCTCCCTTTCTCCCCCTTCCTAGTCTGCCTCCTCCTATGATCCCCACACTCTGAATTTACTCAGGAGATCTTGTCTTTTCCTACTGCCCATGCAGATTAGATCCATGTATGTCTCTTTTATCAGATATATAGTTTTAAAGACTCTTCCCATATTTGTATAGAGCATTATGAGGCTAGGTCATCTTATCTATTCTCATGGACTATGCCAAAGATGGAAAGTGGTCCATGCAAAATTGGAGCAGAGAAGGCAGAATATGGAAGAGAGCTGGGTAGTCAAAAAGGTGCTTGACTATAACATGGGAAATCTTTTTCAGAGACTAGATACTCAGCTAAATGAATCAATCCCTCTGCATCTCCCAATACCAGAAGCTTCCTTAAAGGGATTCGGATAAGAAAGACAGCTCATATGTTGTTGGGCATTGTAGAACTTCTGTGTTTTATGTAATATTCAATTTCTGGCTTACTGAATTATGATTTATGTAGCATCAAAGCTTCAAACTAAAATCGTTGGCATGAGATGGCCTCTTTGCATGTAAACACTACACCTGTGTTGAGTACCACTCGAACAGAATTACCTCACTCTATCACCAAGACATTTTGTAAACCTTAGGGAAGGAGCTTTGCTGGTATCCTAATTCACATACTCTGTGAGTGGCTTTACTGTTGGTCTTCAGGTTCAGACATTATGAAAGCGTCTCCCTATCCTGACCCCTCATAGACTTTGCAATGCCAGTTTGGCCTGGAATTAGAACTGAATTCAAATTTATTTTTAAGGAGATTAAAAATTACTTTTGTTTTGTTTTGTGTGTAGGGGGGGGTGGGAGGGAATCTGCTCCAAAGTGATATATTATAGAAAAAAAACTATACTAATTTTATTTAGTATGAATGCCTTTGGAAGAAAACTGTCTCCATCCCATTTCCTTGAGAAATTTTGAATTAGGTTTAAGGAAAGTATATTCTCAGGGTGTGCGCAGGGACATTCTCTTTTATGGGCAATGTTTTCTAGTGGTATGTGAAGACATTTGCTGTCTCGTGATTCATTCCCAGTAAAATTAATAGCTTTTAATGCCAAAGCCTACATTTATGGAGGTATTTCAAGAAATAATTCTTATATACAATGGAAAGTAGAAGTTCTGCTTTTCTTTAAATATTTAAAAATCACAAAATGATTTTCCAGGGACCTGTCTTCTTGCAATGGAAGTTTTGTTGAAAAGAACGAGTGTTTAACAGAGTCCCTGGGATGTTTCCATTGTCATTGTGGGAACATTACTTGTGTGATGATAGTAAGAGGCTCTCTGCTGGAAGCACTGCCCTTTGGCATTGCGAAAGAGAGTGATTCTGCAGATATCAAGTCAAATAGTGATTCTTATGTTCCTTTTCTAAATCCTCTTTGCAAAAAATTAAAAAAATAAAACAAACCAAAACCCTTAAACACAGCATTTGGTATTTCACTCACGAGACACATATTCATCTTTATTCTGGCTATGTTCTTTACTTCTCTTCATTTGGAAGTAATGCGCATCAGGAAGTTGACTGACAAGGTGAAAGGAGTCAATCAGTCTGACAGAATTGCTGATAAACAAATGAGTGCAATGTGACATCAAAACTGTATACGAATCTAATTCCAAATAATAACAGCCTTATCGTCTAAGAAATAGAAGCGAAACTAGAAACAACTCGTCTGGTGCCTTAGACTCTGGCCTAGTTTTTAAGACTGTTTCAGAGCCAGAAAATGTTTAGCCTTCCCTCTTCCCCACTGTGAGAGTGGCCAGTGATGTGTGCCTTCAACAGATTGCATCTAATCGTGCTCAGGAGGAGTGGACGCTAAATGCTGCCCACAGTGTAAATGTGCACACGGGGAAACCTGTGGATTAAAAGAAGCTGTGTGATTTCCTACATATTTGCCTGATACCTGTATACACACTTATTTTGCTAAATCTTATCATGGATTTCTTCTCTTTAACAGATTAAATGTTCTTCCCAAATAGTTAAGGAGAAAAACTATTTATGAAGGTTAAATACATCCTGGGTTTCAGCCTTTGGACATGTTAGAAAAATGGAAAAGTCTCGATTTGTTAAAATTCACATTTAGTACAGTTGTGATAAGGGATTGGATAATTGGTCTTCTTTATTGTCTTGCCATTGTACATTAGCACTTAAACTCTGAAACTTCCATGCTAGAAACACTCAGCAATGATGGGCAAAGAAGTACCTACCTCCCACTGACCCTGTGTGGCACCACCTAATCCAGACCTCTGAGCGATGCTGTCCAATATGGCAATACCTTTAAAATATTGCTTCCGGCTGTGCTGAGGAGTTTGGCAGATGTGTGGCCTCATTTTAAAACTGAAAGTATAAAAGGGTGCCTCGTTTATCTTTGAGTCTTAGTAGCATCTTCTATAGATTTTCAAATCACATTGCACTGTAATTGGTGATTGATAAGTTCCAGTGCTTCAAGGGTTGTAGTTCAATGATCACCTGCGTATTAGCAGGTTGGTGTTTTTCACTACATTTGGCTTAAAGACTGAAAACCTAAAATAGTTTCGGAAACACCAAATATCCTTAAGATTTGCTTTGGAGACCCATAATAAATACTTAGTACCTAATGACTTTTGAGATTTATTTTTCTTTATGTATATGTGTGTGGTTGTGTAGTATATGAGTTATGTGTGTGTGTAGGATTCATGGAGGCCAGAAGAAGGTGTCAGATACCTTGGAGCAATTGTGAGCTACCCAGAAAGGGTGCCGAGAACTGATCTCAGGCCCTTCGCAGAAGCAGCAAGCACTCTTAACTGCTGAGCCATTTCTCCAGCCTGTGGTACTTTATAACTTTTAACATGTGTCTTTAATATAATACATTCCAGCTGCAGGCCTTAGAATGTATTTACATAGGAAACCACATCAAAACACAAAGCTATAATTAGACAAGCGTAGGTTTTGTGGAATCTGGATTTGTTTTACATGTTGAAAGATTTATTATTTTTTTGAATATGCTGTTCCTATAACTGTGTGTAGAGCATACCCAATCAATTCAATGAATTAAACAATAATACCCTCTAGTTTTTGTTTTCTTTGGGGCCAAAAATGTTTATATACTCCTAAGCAACTGTCTAAAATGAAAAACCAGCAGTGTAATAAAAAGAGAGTACAATTAGCTAATGATCCTTAACCTTGCTACATTTTACATTGGATAAATTATCTTTGATAAAGTGCACCTTGCTTGTATAACCTTTAATCATGCGCATGGGCAATTCTTTTGGATTTATAACTGTAATACTGTGATGGTATTACTATTTTGGCAGACAAGATGAATAACGAAAAGGCACTGGATTTTAATGGTTAAATATCTGTTTATCCTTATGGAGCAGCTGTAAGGATTGAAAGAGTGCAGAATAGAACATCAGTGCTATGCTTTGGGGGCAGGTGATGAGAAATTTCTTTTTCACCACCAGTTTAGAGCAGAATAACTGTTGTACAAAGCCCCAGAAAACACGGGGTAAGATCTGCTGAGTCTCAAGGTGAACCTTGATGATAGCAATGGCAGTACAACTTTTACAATTGCATCTTCTTTCCCCTTGGACCCAAAGGCAGCAGAGTCTCTCCATTTTAGCAGGAAGTATAGCAGAAAAAAGAAACAAAGTATACCGGAGA